CAATAGTACTTAAAGCTTGACTTAGATAACTAACTTTTCATTCATAACGATGTTCAATATGTGATGGGATGCTTCATTGTACTCCATAGTCTATTTATTTATTTATTAATTATGCCACAAGCATATAGCTCCATGGAAGCAGCATCTCATCAATAATTTTATCGAAAAGGGTCCAAATTGAAACGTGGGGAAATCAAAGAAGATCGAGATCTTAAACTTTTAAGTTCTACCTTGGTAGTTTTTTCTACATTTGATGATTAATTCGTACAGAGAGGACATATGTATTCCACTAGTGTACTAAGATTTTTTATATTTCAATTGCATCAATTTATAAAAGTTTTTAGTGGAATTAATATTTTGAAAAATTAATTGTTGAATTAAATATAATATCAGTAAGGAAGAAATATTTTATAGTTTTATTAGTTCTTTAATATATGAAAACAGGAAAGGAATGGCAGATACCTAACAAGAGGTGTTATAAATATTTATCCTTCATTTTCATTTATTTGAAAAAAAAAAACAAATAAACAATTCAAGCATGAAATATGTTCTCATTTTATACGATTTAAATTTAAAATTAATTTACATTTATAATTTAATAAAATAATAGTTACTCTTAGAGTTAAAAATAAATCGAGTCAAGTTTCTTAAAACTCAAATTTGAACTCGATGTTATAGTACTGAGCCGTATCAAGTTTCAATTTTTATCAAGTTCAAATATATTGAGCTCAAACTTGATTTTGAGCTTAACCTGTGAGCTTAAACTCAACTCAAAAAGTTAATTAGTGACTCGCAAGTTTGATTATTTTATGTAATTTAATTTAAATTTTAAATTAAAATAAAATAAAATTTTAAATATTTAATATACAAATTTTTAATACAATTGATTGAGTTAAATTGAGTTGAGTCAGACCGATTTGAGTTAAGTCAAGCCGAACCAAGTTGAGTTTTGAGTTCAACTTAAACTCAACTCGACTTGATTTTTCATGCTTATAATTGAGTTCAGACTTGAGCTAGAGTTAAGTATCACTATTCATATACAACCTAGTCACACTACGAAACAAGCATTGTGATTTAATAATAGACTACTTGGATTTGTTTTTTTATTTTCAAACTTAAGACATGATAATAACATTTGTGATCTATTAAAAAGGACAATGATTAGTTTATATTTTGATTCAGCATGTTGTATAATATATTTATTAAAAAATTATTATTTTTAAAAAAAATTAAAAATAAATAAATTTAAAAATGTAAGTATACATACAATATGTAGGAATTAATTTTATTTATATTATATTTTACTAACGAACATATATGAATGTCAAAAATTATGTTAAATTGAGTGTGTACCGATAATTTTTCATTAAAAAATGAGTGAAAATAATACTTCCAAATTATACACTTTCAAATAAAGCATTGCAAGAAAAATAAGTCTTTCAATAAAAATTTATTATAATTAGGTAGTTTTAAAATATATTTTTACTTAAAAATATAAAGAGAGATCTACTTATATATAAATTTTACACATTA